TATAAATTTTAATTTCATCATAACCCTAAAACTTGTATTCATATTTACTAAATTTTCCTTTAAGAAATATAATTTTAATTATTTATTAATTGTGTAATTTATTTTACAGTTAATCACCACTAAACAGATAACTGATAAAAAGTGGGAATTAACATCAGAGGGACAACATGTTGTTGATCATGGGAGTCATGAAGCAGCAGTTTATAACGCAATTCCCAATGATGGGGTACTTCAACTTGAAATTATGCAGTCAGTACCATTTGCAAAGGTTGGATTTTCTAAAGCATTACAGGCTGGTTGGATAGAAATTGATAAGACCAATGGTACACCTGTTGTGAAGAAAAAGGTAGCTTCTATTACAGATGTTACACAAAATGATTTGAAAGATCTAATAAATTTAAGTGATCGTCTTAGAACTGACTATAAGAAGAGAAAATTGATTCAAGAAATGTAAGCTTATTATTAATTTATCTCAGCAATGAATAATAGTTACAACACATTAATAACTTTTTATTAACAGAATCATTAAATCTGTACAATTAGAGAAGGGTCCAAACTTTACAAGAAAAATTGAGAAATTAGAGACAGAATTGACTGCTGATTTGTTGGTGAATGGTGCATGGAAAAAAAAGAAATTTAAACCATATAACTTTGCAGCACTTGGTGCTACACTTGAAGTGGGCCATTTACATCCCCTGTTAAAAGTTAGAAGTGAATTCAGAAAAATTTTCCTTGAAATGGGGTATGTAAAGGAGGAAAGTAAATGAAATATTAAATCTTATAGTATGTTTAACAATTTTATTATATTTCTGTTGCTATTCAGATTTACAGAAATGCCAACAAATAATTTTGTGGAAAGTTCTTTTTGGAACTTTGATGTTCTATTTCAACCTCAGCAACATCCAGCAAGAGATGCACATGACACCTTTTTCATAGCTGGTATTTTTATTAATTACCTTATCACATCAAATAATACAATTATATATGTAAATGAATTTTAAAATTTTCATTTCAGAGCCATCTCATAGTACAAATTTTCCAATGGACTATTTAGAGAAGGTAAAAAAAGTTCATAGTGAAGGGGGCTATGGTTCTCTCGGTTATCGTTACGATTGGAAAATAGAAGAAGCACAAAGGAATGTTCTTCGTACTCATACAACTGCTATCAGCGCGCGAATGCTGTACAAACTTATGCAGCAGGTAGATTCGAAATATTAAAACATTAAAAAATATAAAATATTAAATAATTTTAAATATAAAATATTAAAAACGTTTATTTCTTAGGGCGAGTTTAAGCCGGTGAAGTATTTCAGTATTGATCGAGTATTCCGTAACGAAACTTTGGATGCTACGCATCTTGCAGAGTTTCACCAAATTGAAGGTGTAGTCGCTGATTATAATCTCACATTAGGTGACTTAATAGGAATTTTGTATGAATTTTTTAAGAAACTTGGTATTGTGAAGCTTAAATTCAAGCCCGCGTACAATCCGTACACTGAACCGAGTATGGAAATCTTTTGTTACCATGAGGGTTTGAAGAAATGGATAGAAATTGGTAATAGCGGAATGTTTCGACCAGAAATGTTATTACCAATGGGATTACCGGAAGATGTGAATGTAATTGCTTGGGGATTATCTTTAGAAAGGTAATATAGAAATAAATACCATTTATATTCCCATATTTCATATCTTTTTAAAATTGAAAAGAAATTTTTTCTAATAGGCCAACTATGATTAAGTATGGGTTAAACAATATACGAGATTTAGTTGGACCCAAGGTGGATATGGAAATGGTTTATAACAATCCTATTTGTCGCTTAAACAAGTAAATATTTTTCTAACAATTATTATTAAGGTATTTATGCAAGTAATTACGTCATTGAAATTGAATGTAAAAAAATTAATATAAAATGTAAAAAATTTGATTCATTAAATAAGTGAATAAGTAAGGTAAATAAGATATCCTTCTGACAGGACCAGTCACAATTCTTCTCAAAGAAAGAAACTTGAAGAAAAGAAACAAGAATCGGACAAGTGTAAAAATAAATCTAGCCAGATTAAATGTACAGGGAAATTAGAGAAGCAGAAGCTGATCATATTTTGCGATCCAAAATATCCGATCATATTTATAGAAAATTTCTTTCGTCATGTTAAAACTTATGTTAATATTTTTGTGACTTCTCATGTACATTCTGACGTACAACATTTACCACATGATTTATCAGATTTTTGTTCCGAATATCGGAATATAGATGAAAATGTTGATATACATTTAACAATAATTTGGAAAGAAATTGGAATTGATCCCATAATGAAATTAGCAGGAACTATACAAATAATGGGCGAAGTAAATATAGCACGATACTTCAATCGCTTAATTGAAAATTGTTGTCCGCAAGCGTTGCGCTACGAAAGCAAAGGTGTATTGTATGCAAATCAAATAGATAATTATTTAGAAAAAATACACACTTTGTTACATGCTAACGCGTGTCAAGGTATTCACAGAAAATCACGTTATGTGATGGGCGAGGATATATCCATCGTGGATATATTACTGGAAGCCCTCGAAAAATGTAAACTACGCCAACATAAATAATATACGAATAAACTTTGTAAAATTGTTATCGCCTATTTTTGAATCTTGTATATTGTTGTCTATTATATTAAATCAACAAATAAATTATATGTGTGGTCACGCGCGCATAGCGCGCGCAGCGCAGACACCTGATATTTAAATACCGCGCGCTGAAAGTTGATACCTCGAAATTCAAGTTATTTACGCTTCAAACATGATATCTTAAAGTTGCAAAGTATTAAAAAATGCCAAGTAAATTTGCTGTATGATTTATCTTTAAAGTAATGGAGACTTTTTTACTCTAAAAAATTCAAAGAACAGTAATAAATCTATCTTTTTAATACGCGAAATATTAGTTCATTGATTTTTATGATATGGTAAGGAATAAGAAAAGGATTACCGTGAAAGTTCAACGAACTCATCAACTTTGTGAAAATTTTTTATTACTCTAACCTTATTTCCGAATGAATCCTGCATTGTGAAGAACATTGTATACCTTTTCCCGCGGAATTCTATCCGTATCACGATCGGTCACCTACGATAAAAACAACACTTATCACCACAAAATATGACTTAATACTAACCTCTTACTACGTGAATCATAATATTGCTGTAATTAATATAAGACAAAATTAATACCAATGATAAGTAAAAATTAATGATATAAATGCAAATTACTATTTTTTTCCAAAAAGGAAACCAAGTTATCTGAACCCACAATAAACCGAAAGATTGAAATATACTAATATATAATTATACTAAAAAACATTCGGTGCATTGTGTTACGAATTTACAACGAAATGTGATACCCTAGTAAAAGATGGTGGTAGAATCAGCACAGGACAGAGCAGCGAAGGTCGTATTCTCAGATTTCAGAACTAAATACAGCAACCTCGTTTCAAAATCGATCAAGGGTACTAACAATACGTTTTAAAACCTAATTTTTCTCTGAAATAAAATAATTAAAAATACATTATAAAAATTAACCTGCATCTCCTTATTGGAAATCCACGATTCCTTCGCGAGTCTTGCGGCGATTCGTGGGTTTTTGTAGAAGTTGTTTCGCAACTCGTTCGGCAGGGTGTCTTCTATCGCCGAATTCAGTATATTCGCCGGATGTTGATACACCAATTCCTGGTGAATGTAGTATTGTGGCGCGGCCGCACACAATGCCACCACGATCATAAGCACGATTATCACGTTCATGTTTTTTGCGTTAGATTCTGTAAAACAACAAACTCCGTTCAACTTAAATTAATTATTTCAACAAAAATTTGTTACAACACTCACAGTCCCAAAATGGTCACTCAAAAAGGCTAGAATTATTACTTCACAAGAAGAAGATACCTTTACACAAATAGAATATCGGAAAAGCATAAAATATTTATATGAAGATTTAAAAAAACATTGCAAAGGAATTCACGATGGATGAATCACCATTACCGAGCAGCGCACTAGTCAAAATTCCACGAGAAAACCACCTCGCTCCATCTTGTAGCATACACTTATACTTCGTACATAATACGAAAACTTTAATTGAATCGTTTTCTCGCGAAATTTTGAATATTGCGCCACTATGATATTCCCATTGTTCATCGAATTGCGATTCTAGTTCACTGTTCCAGGTGTTTTCTACATTCACCAAACGTCGCCAGGAATTTGCATCCTCTACTTATATATATTCTACTCGTAATACTCGATTTTCCATAGACTGTTGCTGCCGTGTTTTCAACACTCACCTCTCCACTCGTGCTGCAAGATCTAGTTATTACTCTGGCGCGTGTCTAACTGAATTCAAGATCCGTTACAGTGGTTACTTATATAGCAGCTGTCAGATACGATACGTTCCGGACCTAAGGTTACCGTCGATGTTTTCTTGGCCATTACCCGCCTTCTGGCCGCTTCTCTCGGCTTTACCTATCGGGCGAGGCCATTCGATCCCCCTTTTGATGCGTTTCAAGGGTGAGGATCCCTTTAAGTCGCCGCTCGTCGCCGTTCATCCGCGACCTTCCTGTTTCTCGTTGCTTGATCCAAGCCGCTCTGCACGATATTAGATGCTGGATACGCGATACACTGCTCTATTCATGGGTTTTGGGTTACGCGGTATACGATAGATTTAACAGTAAAATGAAAAATGGAATTGGTAGATTATATACATTGGTACATTGTTAGTATAAGAGTAGGAGTAGGGGTGGGGATACATGGGTAGGAAGCTGTTTGTGGAGATATTCAGAAGATGAATGTTTTTAATGAACGTGTTCTGAGATTCGTTGGAAACTCTTTTATTTCCTTTGGAAACTTTTGTAGCCTTTTGTTATTATACTTGCATTTTCTGAAGGGTGTCATTGGTATATACATACATTGGTGCACTGTCTGCTAATGTAGAAGTTGGGTGAAGGTTTGTTGGCAGAAGGTTTTGTATGAATTGGTACCGTTTTTGTGAAAGAAATCAGAAGGAGAATATAACTCCTATAATCCCTCCTGACATTGTTTGGAAACATTTCATTCTCTTTGAAATTTTTAGAATCGTTTCTACTTTCTACTTTTTATAAGGACATTGCCTTTTGTTTTATCAGTATTAGTCTGTATTAATTTGTTTAATTATTCGTGTATTGATTATGCCTCAAAGAGTACAGCGAATCATGGTCAAGTTCGTGTTAAGTATTTTCCAATTGAAGCTGGTGGTTCATTAGAAAATGAACGTCGATTTAACCGTAACAGCATTACGATTCGGTGCATGCACTGTTACGAATCAATAAAACGCAGCGAACTGCTGGATCACGTTGTACCCTATGGATATTCTGGAAGTGTTCCTTCGGTTTTCACTTTGTTTGGGGGAATAATTCAGCAGGCACGGCATTCAGCTGATTCACAGCGTTACGCATCATGAATTTCTTAAAAGTCGCACTCTACAATAAGAGCTAGTCTACCGCTCAAATGAGCTAGTACATACCGTGAAATTTGGTGAGTGAAAAGTTCGTACGTGCATTGGGCAATCAATTTTATACTGCGACTAGAATTTCCTGTATTTTTTTTAACGAGACTTGACCATATATAAAAAATAAAAGCTATTTAACAGTAACTACGTAATGTGTTAATTGAAACACTCACCTTGTTCTAAGAATACCGAAATAACTCGGAGGTAAAATTAGAATTTCAAATTTTCCAACTTTAAAAATAATTATCTAATTGAATGAGAAATATTCTGCAGGAGTTACTTCACTCGGTAGACCTTGGAGTGTGCAATTAGAGCTTAAAGTAACTCACGGAAGAATTCCAAAGAAATTCAGGAAGAGGAAAAAAAAAGTGGAAATGAAACTTAACTTTTCAAAATCGAATATTATTAAGGTATTTGACAATTTGTCGAGAGAGTTCACTAAACTGTTACGTTGGCCGTGTCGGTTGGCGAGTTTCAACCGCCCACACAGGTTCTTGCGAATTTTTTTCGACTGCGCAGTTTTCCGGTTTATGCGTCGCGCATAATAGTATCTCCGTTCGACGTGAGAGCTGGATCCGGGTTAAACTCACGAGCTACGCTATAACGAACCCATGCACCATTCGCAATTCCAAACTTCTCTGCTTTTCTCCTGCGTTGACCGTGCAGAATTTCGCTTTTTTCGCTCACGTACGAATCTCACGAACGTAAATCCTCCTATTCTCTTTGTAATCCATGCACAACAAACAGAAATTATTTTAGGGATACTTTAGGTTAACGAAATGCCATTAGAGTGTTTAAAAACGCGGGAAAGATATAATTGTCGTTGTTTAAATTTAAGGTTGGGTTAGACTTTAGGTGTAATTTTGAAGAATTTTTCTCGGAACATTCTCATATAAATAATATAATCTAAATTTATTATAATGACAATATCGAAACAAGAAGTAACATGTATTATGCAATTGTATACAAATTCAGATAAAGAAGTAGACATTGGAATTTCCTATCGAGTGACAATTCGAATATGTGGTCCTTTGATTAAATTGGAAAGGGTATTATGATTGTATATGTTTTATTACGCATGACGTTAAGTACATGTGCATTTTATTTAAGGCGCACGAAATGGACAAGGAATCGAATATACACCTCGTGGTATTTGGGTCAATGTTACGTCCTTATAAGCAATACCCAGAGGCAGTGGTTACCCTTGTCGGAACTGACCTCTGCCTGTTACAGGAAGTTGAAGTTTCTTGACACTTTAAATAATGTATGATAATACGATGAGAAACAGAGAATGAGAGAAAAATGTCAGCGTACGGGAATATCCGCAACTTTGCACTTGAACTAATGGTAATTAATATCATTCAAGATATCGTCTCATCTTGGTACATAAATAAGCCATAGAAATGCCAGTTAGCAAAAAAAAAGTGAAATCACTGCTAACTACAGTTTTAATTTTAAAACAAATAATAATAAAATTTGTTATTAATTTAACAGTTTTCTTACCTCTTTTGTAAAGAAACATCATGGCCGGGGTAATACCCCACTAGTGAGGTAATTCCAGCCAAATGACCTTTTTTCGTTTTATGTTTCTAATTTTGTTACAACGTAAATTTATGCTTTCTCGACCATACTAATGCAAACTAGACACTTCAAGCTATCAATTAGTATCAGAAAATTAAGAAATGTGTAACTTGTTCAAATTTTATAGCATTTCTTGCTTATGTAGCCG